TTTTATCCTAAATTCTCTTCTGCAACTGTCTAAAAGTCTCTAAAATTGGTATAATCTCAATATGTCTATTTATATGTAATGATAAAATTTATTAGTGAGTCCAACTTAAGGATCTGCTGCATTTTTCTTGTTATTTTCTAATATTGATGATCATTTACAAAATGACATACACCTCTACTTAGCTATCTGCCATAAATTGACTACATTTTGGATTTTCTTAAAAGATGAACTGCTTTATGGTTAGAATAATTAATACAGTTTACTGCCAAAGTTGATGAGAAATAGAGCTTGTCATATAACCTGTGTTGTTATCCTCTCTTCCTATGTTAGCAACATGATTGAAATTGGAAATTCAATTTTTGTGCCAAAATGGACAAATTAATGAAATTACCCATATCTTCATCTGCATGTGAAATGGAGATTTTTGTAGTCAAAACAGTGAATCAAGTAGGGAAGAGAAAAATCATTTCTTACATTTGAGAGAAATCTATATACCAATCATGGCCAACTTGCAATATGGGTGATCTGGTGGCATTAATGAACAATGCCATTATCCTTTTAAATAACAGAAAATATCCTTTATGGTATATAAAAACTAATAGGTTTAACTGTTATTGCCATAATATTACCTGTGACTAAGCACGCACTACAAATTTTAGACCATAGTTACAGGCCTTTCTCATCTTGCTTAGGGATAAAAAGGGACATACTCACTGTACTCCAAGCATGCCTGGGTAAAGTAGGGTAGTTTTGCCCTATAAAAAGGAGTCAAGGCAAGGCCCACACAACTGGGAAATCCATTGTCTCCTCAAGGCGAGCCAACGCTTCCTCTTTTCTCAGGAATTGGATAAAAAGAGACATAAATGCCCCCATGAGGGTACCATGGGCTCTGATGCACGGAACACAATTCTGAGAGCCATTGTGTCAGTGTCACACAGTATTCCCAGAGGCATTTCTCATTGAAAGTTATCTGCAGGGCATTTCATAAAAGTTTATGAACATTTATGATCATATTTTTCAAAGTATCTCATGGCCCATAAGTATCTGATTTGATCACAATGTTATAAGCATTCTTGACAGACATGTTAAAGTACAATTTTTAATATCGGGTCTAGTAATAATTAATGTCGTTTTAAACATTCATTTAAAATCTTGCTTGGCGTTGACTTGTATTGAAATAACCTTCAAACACGTGGTATCTACAGAACGTGTGAAGTGCAATTAACAAGTTTTGCTTGAAAAAGTTTGTGTTTGGTTTGGTTTTTGTTGCAAAACTAGGGCTAAGAAGATGGCGGATGAAGAGCATATTCGGCACTGCATGCTTTACGAGTTCCAATTAGGAAGAAAAGCAAGTGAGGCTGCAAAAAACATCTGTAGTGCTCTTGGTCAAGAGGCAGTTAGCGCCAGAAAATGCCAGCGTTGGTTTGAGAAATTTTGCGAGGGAAATTTTTCGTTAGATGACAAGAGTGGTCGAGGCCGTGTGTCCAATTTTGATCAAGAAGCTCTTCAAGCTCTTTTGGTGCAAAATCCTCAAATTACCCAACAAGAGCTTGCGACAACTTTAAATTGTTCACAAAAAACAATTTCCAATCAATTGCGTGCACTTGGCAAAGTCCAAAAGTTTGGAAAATGGGTTCCTCATGAGTTGACCGACAACAACCATAATCAAAGAGTCACAATTTGCAGTTCGCTCCTCTCTCGTCAAAAACCGTTTGCCGTTTTTAGAGCAAATTGTTACCGGAGATGAAAAATGGGTGCTGCATGTTAATTTGAAAAGGCGGCCTCAATGGTTGGACAAAAATGAGGCTCCGCAGCCCACGCCAAAACCTGACTTGCCTGCGAAAAAAGTGATGTTGTGTGTTTGGTGGAATTTTAAAGGAATTCTTCATTATGAACTTTTACCATCTAACCAAACCATTACAAGTGCAGTGTATAGTGCCCAACTGGAAAGGTTAGCCCACGCTTTAAGAGAAAAAGAACCCGCGCTGATTAATCGGAAGGGCGTAATTCTTCACCACGATAACGCACGACCGCATACTGCAAGAATCACTGCTGAAAAACTGCGCCAGTTGGAATGGGAAGTTCTCCCTCAACCTGCATATTCTCCTGATATTGCCCCTTCTGATTACCATTTGTTTCGTTCTTTGCAAAACTTTCTTCTTGGAAAAAAATTTAATAATGAAGAATGCCTCAAAAATGCATTGACCGAATTTTTTGCATCAAAATCACAAGAATTTTACAACAGAGGGATTAAAATGCTTCCTGAGTGTTGGGCACAAGTAGTAAAAAACAACGGCAACTATATTGTTGATTAAATTTTGTTGTATTGTTTAAATAAATTCGATTTAAAAAAAGGTATTAGAAAACGACATTAAGTATTACTAGACCTAATAGAATACTTTAAATATATAGTTAAGTATTCTACTATAAAAATTTGCATTCAGTAATAAAACACTAGTGATTTCAACATTTGTTGTAAAATATAATTTGGAATTAGGCATCTCAAAGAATTAAATAATTATTTAATTTGGTTAAATAGGCAATTTAATAATGTGGTTTAAAACATGAAAACCTGTGTTAAAGACTGCAGGCAGTCCTCGGGTTACGTCAGACTCAACATACATCCTTTTATGGTTATGTCGCCATCTCCCATTTATTTACAAAAAAAAAAAAAGTTCCGTCATTTCAACATATGCACATATATATTTTATGTTTTTTATTGTTTACTGTATTTACCACAAGTAAAGGTCAGGGGTTTTTATCTTTCTTTTAAATTTTTTGTTGTTGTTTCACTTCATTGCTGCTGTGTATATGCTTCATATTGAGTGACATAGGTGCTTACATAGGTGAGTTCCACCTTATGGTGAAAATCGCGTTACATCACGCCATAGGAACAGATCTCCGATGTAACTGGAAGACCTACTGTATAGTTACCTAAATTACAGTTACATATAAATTATATACTTATACATATATGCATGCATATGATAATTTAAATGTATAATTTAATCCACACTTATAAAATTTAACTTCTATATGTGATGTTGTGAAGTATTTATATATGTGTATATATCTATAAACACTTACATGTGTATATGTTATAAAAAGGTGGATTAGATTTAAAAGAAGAATCTTTAGCATTAATCATCTAGATCCTAATCTATTCTAATGATGAATGATTTTAGAGCTTTAGATTTCTTATAAGATATTAAATAATTTTTAAAAAACTTTTTCTGGTAAAACTGAAAACAATACACAATTAATTTATAAGTTTATTTCTTAAGCTTGTTTATAAATGTCTATCCTGTAAACAGTGTGATGCTCAGTGACTATCCTTAAAAGCAAAAGTTGCTATTGTAACTTGTAAAATCATAACCTACAAAAATTCAAACTAAATCAAGAAACTTCAGATTTGAGAAGGTGACATGAAAAGTTATTTGAAAAAATAAATAGCTTTTGCCCTGACCAGGTGGCTTAGTTGTTTGGAACATCATCCTGCATACCAAAAGGTGTGGGTTGGATCCCTGTTTGGGAACATGTGCAGGAGGCAACCCACTGTTTCTCTTTCACATCAATGTTTCTCTCTGTGTCTTTCTTCCTCTATCTCTCAAATCAACAAAAATGTACACTTGGGTGAGGATTAAAAAAAAAGTAAATAGCTTTTGATGGGCACCTTACTGTAAGAACATCACTATTTCCAATTAATATAAGTTTATGGAGCAATATATAGTCACACACATACATTCTGAATGTTACCAAATAGAATACATTTTTCTAGTTATTGGTGGAATTTAGTACCTGCGTTCTCCCAAAACAGAGAATAAAATTTGCTTAATTATCAAAATGAGCATTCAATTGAGTTATATGTCTCATTTAGGCTGTAACAAATTAAAGTAATATAGAGATCACAATAAATATGTTTCAAACAAGAAGCTAATTACTAAAATTTTCTAGGTGTCTTAAATATGTATCACCAGTCTTCACTCCAATAAGGATTTATTTAACCTAAAACTGTAGTAATTTTTAATTTATTTCTTAATTAAATTTTACATCAGCTATATTATAAAGAGTTCTTCTAAAATCCATTTGGGGATGGGATAGGTGTGGGAAATTTAAAGTCTCACATGATTAGCTAATTCCAGGGGGGGAAAAAATTATTACTTTAAAAAATTCACGTAATTACCACAATTTGTATTTTGTATTTTATGTTTGAAAAATTCAAATTTAATTTTTCTAAAGAATATTTAAGCCATGTCAATGGATTATATATTTTAGAGCTAGTGGAATGCTTTAATGTGTTAAGTGCTATTTTTCTCACAGCATTTGTCAATGGTGTCCTTCTGACCATACACTGGAATGCATGCTAGTAATGCCATACAATTAAATACTCCCATATTCCCATTAAGATATGGGTGGGGAACATTTTTTCTGCCAAGGGCCATTTGGGTATTTATAGCATCCATCACAGGCCATCCAAAATTACCAACTTAAAAATTAGGCTGCTATCTTTGGTCAACAATTAACTAATCCGTAATGCCTTGGCAGGGCCAGGCCAAATGAATTCGAGGGCCTTATGCAGCCCATGGGCTGGACATTCTCCACCCCTGCCTTAAGTGAACATCTCAGATTTTCTCCCCAACTAAATATCCAGCTATGCCACAAAATACTTTAATCATCTTCCGAGAAAAACATCGCTCATCTCTATTTTCCAAACTTTGGCAAACTACGTTTTGTAAGATTCACACATCAGTGTGTGCTGCTCTGGCCCTGTGACCACCCTGAAACCTCACACATTTTGTAAATTCACAGATAAAAGCAAACTCAAAGCTGTGGGATATCTGATGAAGCCTTGGCCAATCTACAGCCCCGGCCCCAAGGAAACATTTGCACCCTGGCTGTGTCCTCCCCTGCAGGGAAGGCACTGTCTTGGCTGACACTGCCTTCACATCGTCCCACAGATTTCTCACATGAAAGGGGAGTGGATGAGCAGAAGGCCCTACCAGAAGCGGCTCGTCGGGGACGCTGGTGGAGAGCTCAGCAGACACTGAGCGGGCCGTGCTGAGCCCGGTGAGGGAAACGTTTGAGAGTCTTCTCCGCCTCACGCCACTACAGTTGTTGGGTATTTTAAAGGCACACCTCTTATGGTAATTCAGACCACATCCTGAAAAAAAGAAAATAAAAATGGCTTTTGTTCAACCATGAAATAAAAGCTATTCTAGTTTTAGTTGTACGCTTTGAATTATTTTTTACAATAGTCCTGCTTCCATTTCTTTTGGGGCTACTTGGAAATTCACGTTGTCTTTAGAGATTTTTTCTGATGAATTTTACCAATCTGTAAGTAACCTGGGTTTTGAATTCTGATTTTATCGAATGAGCTCAGCAACTACTGTGATTATCATTTTCCTCCCCGAAATGTCCTCTGATGCAATGGATTTTGGCTTTGAAAGATCCAGCAACAAAACTCCGAAGAGATTACCTGAGCCATTTTCAGCTGCCCCAAGTTCTAATGTGAGTGGACACATAGGGAAATTAATCACAAAACAGAACAAATTCCGAACTATTGATACATTGATTTTAATCCTGGCTCCATAGGTTCCAAGGATTTTTCCACAGAGGCTGATACAACTATTTTATGATGCTGGTATACAAGCCGGAATCCACCACTCAATAGCAGAGTGACCTGGGGCGGTTTGATGAACTTCCTGAATATCTGTTCACTTCAACCAACACTTAAATGAATGTCTACTATTCCAAGAACTGAATTAAGATTCCAATTTTATTTTCTGTGCGTTAACCAACACAAAAGAAACCTATTCATACGACATAGGGGAAATATGTGAGAATAGGGTTTCCCAGATCTGAGTAAATACGTTGAAGACTAGGAGTGTCAAGGAATGAACAGAAGAATTCATGCATCCCCCAAGTCCCTGGAAGACGTTTGAGGGGAAGAAGACATTGTGGTAGACAGCGCAACACAGGCAGATAACTCCAGCCTGTGTTCCACTTGGTTGGGGAATATCTTACCTTCACATTTGAGGCCTTGACGGACCAGCCCCCACAGCATTTCTCCACAGTGGTCACAGAAAGCTGGAGCTCTGTACGAATGAACAAAGAGGGCATGGGGGCGGATCTGAAAGTCTTCAAAGGTGGCAGAAGCTGTAAAGACAGCAAAGTTAAAAAGTGAATTGAATGGATACCTCGATGTGTAGATAATTAGTATGCAAGATAACGAATATAAAGTATAGCTATAACTCTCCCGGCAAAGCTAAGGAGAGATAAGTTGCAACCCGGCTCGGCTTTTAGCCATTTAGATTCCATTCTTTCCAACCACAGTTTTACAAGTGGTTCCAAAGCAACTCTCACTCCTCTCTCCCTGCTTGCCGGTCGCAGGCCACTTTGAAAACAGGCAAAATGCTGGCAGAAAGCATGAATGAAAGGATAGCTTAACTCGGTTTATAAATACCTGATGTTACTTAAAAACATATTGCTTTTGCTTTCCCTTAAATGAACCAGAAAGGTATTCAGAAATATTACTAAAAAGGAAAATTATGATGAATTTAGACAGATCAGAAGACAGTAAACTTGAATATGACCCAAATGGGTATATGAGAAGAGTGGGGCCCAACTGGAAGAGAGAAGAAATCTGAGCGGCCTCTTCTGGGGGAGACAGTTATTTGAGCTCTTGGCACTATAGGTAGGCATTTAAATCCTGTGTTAAAAATAAGCAAGCAGCCTCCTCACCAATACGCCAAACAGAGAATTTAATACACACACAGGTGAATTCCAGTCCATTTTTTGAGAAATATACTTTAGCAAGTAATATTCATGCTATAGGACTTATTTTCTTGCTTATTGGTATTTATTCTATACTAGAGGCTTAATGCATGAAATTCATAGGGAGGGGTGAGTAGAGGGGGTGTCCCCTCAGTCCAGTCTACACCCTCTCCAATCTGGACCCTTTAGGGGATGTCTAACTGCCGATTTAGACCTGATCTCACAATCACGGACTGCAGACTCCTAATCATTCACCTGCCTGCCTGCCTGATCGCCCCTCACTGCCACTGCATGCCAGCCTGATCACCTTAACTGCCTCCCCTGCCAACCTGGTTGCCCCTAACTGCTCCCTGCTGCTGGCCAGGTCACCTCCAACTGCTTCTCCCTGCTGGCCTGGTCTCCCCTAACTGCCCCCCCACATACTAGCCTGGTTGCCCCCAACTGCCCCCTCCCCTTTCAGCCTAGTTGCTCCTCACTGCCCCCACTGCTGTCGTAATCACCCCCAACTACCCCCCCTACCATCCTGGTCGTCCCATGCAGCCTGCTGTTCAGTCATTTGGTCATCCCTCACTAACCCCCCTGCCAGCCTGGTTGTAGGCAGCCATCTTGTGATGGTGTGATGGTCAATTTTCATATTACCTCTTTATTATATAGGATTGTACTAATGCAGAATATTAAAATTAATTATTTTTCAAAAATTATGTTTTTCTACATATTTTATGATGTTATAAAAATGGCTGATGCATTTTGTTGTTGTTCAAGTCCAGGAATAGGTATGAAGAATTGAAAGTGAAAGACAACCTCTTTCCCCCAAATTCTAATGGATAAGGGCATAGCTTTTAGACCTATTTGCACTCACAGCCTGATGTGGGGAGATGTGGCCTGGGGTGAGAAGAGCTGGGTGGAGCTCTGCCATTGCTCATTTGCCCATGGAGCCTGCCTGCGTTTCTCAGACACTAAAAGAGAAGGTCTGACTGACAGTGACTTCCCCAGGCCCTTACACTTTAAACGTCCACTAATGTTAAGACAGACCCATGTGCACTTGATTTCATAAGGTTTTTATTCAAAGAGAATTTGGGGGGATTTTAGGCCTTCAATATATCCTTCTATTCCTCTCTCTTCCTATTGTCTGTCCGCTTGCCTAAATTTTTCAATATACATTTATTATGCACCATCAAGCCTTCCAATGGGACAATGCCTGGGTCAAACATGTAAAGATAAAGAAGACATCTTCACAGAGCCTACCAGACTAGCAGGAAAGACAAACAAACAAAACAAACAAACAAAACAACCAAAAGAAGCCCACAGTAATTATAATGTAACTTCTAAGGTTCAAGAAGCTGCATAAGTTACATAGATAATGAAGAGAAATAGGACTTCAACCCACAGGTGTTTGGGCCCCAATGTACTCTCCTTTTCATTCTTATCTGTGATATATCTTATCTTCCCTAACTCTGCCGGCAGAATTATATGCAATAGCCCCATGATGTGTGGAATAAACATTGGCAGTTGTTCTGCTGGTGCCCGGATGGCAGGCTGTGGGGTAATCACTGAGGACATTTATAAAATACCTGTTCACTCAAGTCTGCAAAGTGTGACAGAGTGAAGGATGAAAAAGTAGGCAATTCATCTCTGCTACACAGGTATCCACAATTTTGGAAACAAGTCTGAAGGTTTCACATCCACCAGGGCAGGTGAATCAGTTCTACCAGAAAGAATATTATTGTGGGTTCACAGGACATATAATGGGACCATTATAGAAGATTACAATTTTAATGGGTTGGTTGTTCCTTGAACCTTGAATAAAACTACTTTATCCCACATTAATGTGCTGAGTTATTGGCAATCACCTATCAATGGATTCAAGTTATAATTTTTATGCAATTCGAAAGATAAAGAAAATAATAACAGTAGCAACAAAGATTCATTAAGCTCTGACTATATACTGAACACTATGCTAGGAGAGTGTGGAAGATGGAGCTGATCAAGGTTCCTGTAGCCACATAAGCATGCCCAGCCTTGTCCACATGCAATCCTAACCTGTGTACGGTCTAGGCACCTTTTGTGGTTTGATCAAAATTGTCTAAATTTGGGAATGCTAAATCCACTTTAAAGTTGTTCTCACATACTCAAGACAGAATTTGCTTTTATAACATCAAAGAAAATAGTTAAAGAAAATATCTTATGCCATCCATTAACTCCTGGCTTCTCCATCTCCTCCCACCCCCTCAAGGACCAAACAACTATGACAAATAATTGAATGATTACCGTCGTTTTCAAAATAAGGCATATCAGAATTTGACAATACTCACACCAAGTTGCATATGGTTTTCTAAATTAATCAGGAAAAATATAAATAATTAAACTGAAGGTTTTCAGTAAGTCCCCCTCCTGATCTATGTCAGGTAAGTACGTTAATTCACTTTTTTAAAGGGATTAACATTCATAAGCTGTTAGCACCCTTGACTTATGTTTAAATGCCATTTTCTAAAGTTCAATTTTAATATTTTCCTGTTAATGTTAAAATAATTAAATACATTTTAAAAATAAAACTACCAAGTGTGGTGAGGTTTTACATCCATTTGAAATCAAAGCACAAACTCCATTCATTATGAATGTACTTGTTCTGCACCCTGGGGAACCAGCATCGCTGGGTGTATGCATGCCATCTCACCTAATCACAAAATTGCACTTCAGAGATAATCACTTAGCACAGGAAAACAAAGTGAACGCTGTAATTCCATTTCACTTAAATTTTGGAATCCAAATGGACAGATAAGAATAAGAATATTAAAGGGTCTAGAGATTCTAGGAGATGAACAATGTGCTATCTGTCAGTCCGTTATAACCAATCAGTCGACCTAAATTAAAACCATATGACAGAGCTACAAACTGAACACAATGGGCCCCTTATACTGGTATTTGTGTTTCTCTGATTTGCTCTATTCACAGTCTATTGTTATACACAATGTGCAGGAGAGGAGAAAATGACGTGCTTTCCTTAGTCAATGAACATTTGAAATAGGCAATTGAGCCAAAATCTCTAAGATAATCAGTAGTTCTTTTAAGGTTCATTATAAATTGTTGCACAAAATGGAATAAAGCATTTGGTTAGCAGTACACATGAAATGAGGCCTCCAAAGTAAAGTAAATAACTTCCGGGGGTCAAAATTATTTGCATAATGAAACAAAAACATGTGAGATTTCCCAAGATTTTCAGTAATTTTTTTTTACTGGTAATTTTGGCAATTAGGGAGTAACATTAACACTTTCTGGCAATAGCAAATTGGGCCAGATATCATAAAAAATAAGAGTTTAACATAGTACAAGTATCACCTCACTCAATTGTTTACAAGCAATCTATGAAGTACATATTATTATTTCCCCTTTATAAATGAGTAGACTGAATCTCAGAGAAATGAAGAAGCTGCCCAGGGTAACATAAAATCTTGAATTAAATAGTCCTGACACCTGTACCATACAAACTCTTTCAGCCACTCTGATGTTTCTCTGACCATTGAGACACTATGAATAACAAACTGCATCTTTATTTTATAAGACACTTGGAAAGATTAACAAAAAACTGTAATTAAATAATATACACCATCATTATAAAGTACACCCTTATCTCAGAAAAGCAAAAACTACTGGGGAGAAGAGTCTAGGAAATAATGTACAGAATGAAATTATAATTCATGTCATGATAAAAAAAATGATAAAATTAATATGCTTTCTGCATAGACTCCATTTTTTTAAATCCTTCCCAATCCAAAAGTAACAATAACTAGTTTTTAAAAGTTTTATAAAAATTAACATTAATGCAGAACTACAGGCCAGTTAGAGCTTATGTTTATGCTAGTGGCCCAGCCTGATACTGCACGCAACAGGCCGCCCTCCGCCTCTGCTGGAGCCGGCAGGAGCCGCGATGTTTCCTCAAGAGCTGGAGGGCGGCAGCCGCACTGCTTCCACCGAGCCACGCAGCTTCAAGAGCCACTGCAGCCCGCAGGCAGGAGAGCAGTTAGGAGCCAGCAGTCCTGGATTGTGAGAGGGATGGAGGAGCCAGAAGGTCCCATGCCACTTCATTGTCTGGCCTGTGGGGGCGGGGGCCTAGAGGTGTTCCATGCATCTCCTCATTGCCAGTTGTGCACACAGCCTGCCCCTTGCCAGGCGAAGCCCCTCCTAGCCTGTTGAATGGTCATTGCTGTAATGTAGTAACAGACAATTTGCATATTACCTCTCTCTATATATATATTAGAAGTCCAGTGCACGAAATTCCCTCAGCCCAGTCTGCACCCTCTCCAATCTGGGACCCCTTGAGGGATGTTCAACTGCCCTTTTAGACCCGATCACTCTCACAATCCAGGACTACTGGCTCCCAATTG